AGATTAAACTTGTAACTATTATGGGAGGGTACCGTCAATCACCTTTGACTGTGGAGAAAACCTAAGGCACTAGAGAATTATTTCTTTCAAATTTATTCATATTTACCTGTATGGTTGGTTTGCACCGGCGAAAAAGTCTATAAGCCTATAGACTGGGAGTGAATCGATTATAAGGTGGGCAATGCAAAACTCAAAACAAAACGACAACAACAACAGCATCCAAAACAATGGACCTTTTTACCGATGTCATCCAATATAAACAATATTGATATTTTTCATAAAAACAAAGAAACACCTACATAGAACAATTTATCATTCCGAATTTAGTAAATATGCGAAGTTTCATGGAAATCTGTTGCAAACTCGTGAAAATATGGGAACCCAAACTTGCCAGTTTTTACCCAGCAATGTACGTATGCCAGGGGGGAAAGCGTGCTTACATTTCTTCTTAGAACAGAAAAGTACTGATGTCGGACAGAAACTTTACTGATCGTAAATATGCTCTGTGGCCTGATATCGCAACCTGTTCAAACCACGAAATCCTTGCTATTTGACTGACTGACAGCCTGACTGACTGACTGACTGACTGGCTAGCTGGCTGGCTCGCTAGTTGAATGACTGACTGACTGACTGACTGACTGACGGAATGATTGAATGGATGGATGGATGGATGGATGGATGGATGGATGGATGGATGGATGACTGACTGACTGACTGACTAACTAAATAAATGTCACGAATGAATGATTGAATGAGTGAACGAACGAACGAACCAAGGAACTGATGTCAGATGAAATTTCTCAAATTCTGTCGTCGTGCGTCTTAGAAAAATCCTAAAAACTAATATACAATGTTTCTCCCCGGGATCAACTACAATTCCCTTAAAATATCTTCATCTTGGTATTACAAAAGTGTTTATCGCTCGAGCAATGGAACTTGGTCATAATTGCTGCACCGCTTTGACCAAAATGCAGCAACATCGCCATGATGGTGTCCCTTTCACAAACAACTGGTCAGACAATATCTGATATCCCACTGCCACGCTGTTGTTTTAGAGTCGCGTGGACTGACAAGATTCAGACTGAAACATCGAGTTGCGCTTCTTCCATTGCGTAAATGTACATTTACATGCTTGAGATGAAACTAAAGTCTATGAAATCGGGAAAAACGGTCCGAAAGGATGCTGAATTTACAAGAGTATCTAAAACGAACGACCCCTTTTCAAAAGGGCAGCAAGCAATTGCTTCTGAGTCCTGTAAAGCCACATGACCTGCATGCACTGTTTATAAGGTCCTTAATTTAGTGATTGGCCAAACGAAACATTTCAATGTTTACTTAAAAGTACAACGCAAACATTGTCCCTAGCCTTAACGTCCCGCCCACACTACACTGGAGAAAATTGAAAACGGCGTTTTCACTCTAAAAACGCATCAAATGTTTTCCGCCCACATTACGCCGGGGAAATTTGAAAACGCAACAATCATCGGCCATTTGGGATTTGTGCTTAAAGTTTTTGGAAAGCTCTGTTTTCAAAATGTTTTCCGTCCATACTAAAACTCAAAGCCGGTGTTCACAAATTCTCGTCGTGTGGCTGATATGAGGGGGCGTCGACGTTGACGCCTTCTCAAAAAATCTACCTTGGAATTTCGCAATTATCTAAATCTGTTCAGTGACGCCGATCGGTCTAAAAACTAGTTCTTATTCAAACTAAATATGTAGTGCAAGCTGTCAATTCCAAACGAAACACAAAAATCAGTCGTCGTGGCTCACGTCGTCTATAGGAACTAATTGGTCATTGCACGTTGTTGTTTTCCAGAAGACGGCTACAAAGGCATGCAGAACCATTGTTCTGATCAATTGACAGGAAAAATATTGTTTATAATTTGGAGACGTTTTCGTTGCGGTTTTTGAGAACGTGGTTTTGCACACGTTGGAATTGCCTGGGCCCTTCGGATACCGCCGAAACAGGCAAGAAATATTAGTCTTCCAAACTCAAAAACAAACAAGCAATAAGAGTTAAACTAGAAATCTTCCTTTATATTTATATTCGATCACAGAAAAAATCACAATTTACCCTGTTTGGACTGTCGGTTAACGGTCTTTGATAACAGAATAAAACATTTTGACGCAAAAGTTTCCATGCAGGGCTGATTTTCTAATTTAAACGCGTTGCCGAGCGAGTTATGACGGCCGAATTAAATTAGCTTCCCTCACCTGGGCTTTCCGCATGGTCCAGTTCCAATGAAAACCTTCGCTGAAAAAAGAATTAACTTGGCTGCAATCCGTCCAAGATGAGTTTAAGGGCCGTTTCCGTGGGTTGTTGCCGCTTTTTAAACGGAGCAGAAATAAATGAAAATAAATGAGCTTTGGTGACTGATCGACCATTTACCGAGTCTCGTCTCCAAATAGAGGCAAATTTCAAATGGGGACTTCAGTGATATAGAACTCAGAGGCAGTTCACTGGGTTCCATGAGGTCACTGTTTGGTTTTAGTTCAGTTGACGCAAGGATAATACCTTACTGTAAGGTGTTCTGGAAGGCTCGTGAAAAGTTAATTAATAAACAAAGCTCTCAAATCAGCTCGTCTCTTAAAGAACGACCTGACCTATATTGGACTGGCAATCTTGAACTTGTGTCAGTTACTTAATGTTCCCAACTAAAAATGCACGAAACCCGGTTTTTGACATCATTAAGAATTGGTTCAAACTTTGTATTCTGCGGAGTAATATAGATGTGCAACAAACGAGGCTGCATGTGCCAGAACCGTTAACGTTGAATATATATAATTTTCTTTTTTTTTTTTCCTCGAAGCATAACCGAAAACAACTCTTACGTAACGGTGCAGCCTCTCGAGTGGGCAGTAAAATGCTTACACCGAAAATATAATATCAAGTGGACTTGGAGGTTATTCATTATTTTCAAATTTCATAAGAATTTTTCCTGTTTTGAAAAGCTGAGAGAAATTTTCCTTGATGGTGATAACTCTTGCCCACGTGATTTTCTGGAGAACATGTGTGCGGTGTCGAGTTATGGATGAAGGGTCTTGCCATTGATTTAAGTCACGCGAGTTGCAGTCGTATTGAATTGCTTTTATTCGGTGTTTGGGTTCAAACAAATTTTCCCGTTCGAACTGTTTTCTGACCAAACCCTGTGGCTTCAACCATTTCTCAGTTTCTCAGCTTTTGAGCGCACCACTGTACCGATACGCTCAAAAGATTGAAATCGCGTCATCGATAAAGTAGATCAGCGGCACAGTTTTGTAATATTCCTTTGGCATAGTAGGATTGTAAGAACTTCACTTACTGATAAATCAAGTCTCTTATGTTTCGTTGTTCTTGAAGTGCTTTATTTGGCTAAGTTATTGGACCAGTTCATGAATAAATCATTGCAAATACTTTTAAAGAGAACCAACAAACTAAAACTAAGTGTTACTGATTCGAACTCTCAGCCAAGTCGACATGACTAGCAGTAGCCCACGAACACAGACGTATTTCTGGCTGTCCTTTGTCTTTCTCGGGTTAGACTAGCGGGGATTGTTGGAAAATAATTGAAAATAAAATAAAAATGTAGCCGGGGGAGCAACGAATTGACTAGTTGAAGTTACTGTCCGCATTGTGCTTGATGATGAACTAAACAAAGAGAACATGTCTTTGCGCCGAGACTGTATTCAATCCCCCGGGGGGGGGGGGGCTACTCCCCTATATGGGCTATATAGGTATGTGCAGCCCCAGAGGGTATGGTTTTCAGCCGTTTTGGTCATAAATAGGATATCGATTTTGGCCATTTTGGTCATAAATAGGGTATGGTTTTTGCACTCTAGTCTTGAACTGGGTATGTTTTTTAGAAGAAGCTACTTTTTCATCATTATCGATAAGACCATCAACAAACGTCCTTCATAAATTATGTTTAGGGCAACTGTGCCAGCCGCAATGGTCATAAATAGGCTATCAAATTTTTGGTCGGGTCATAAATAGGGTAAGGAAAGTCGCAGATTTTGGTCCTAAATAGGGTAGGGGTTTTGGGAAGTGGGCCGGACACCCTCACCCAATTGTTTTGGGAGTACGCCCCCGGAATTCAATCCTGACTATTTACACGTCTGCATGTCGAGGTTTAAAACAAAGTATGACATCAGTCTGACCTGATAGTTAGCTTGCATCTACTGCATGGCTATAATTTGTCACTTGCTGGAGACTTATGGAAGTCCTCTCTGCCCTTTCGATCGCCTGTCGTCGAGTCGCTCCGAAAATAGCCTGCAAGACACGATGTGGTCTGCACATTGTGAATTGCAGCAACTCAATCACATCAAATGCTATGCAAAGTTTAATTTGCGGTGAAGAAGCTTTAAGAGGTGGCATGACCTCAGATGCGTTAAGAAGATTTCTGTATGCGGATTCGTTTTCGACCGCTTTTCGATCACGATACTTTAATTTTTTTCGCGACAAAAAAAATTACACTAAGTAAGAAAATGAGAGAGAAGTAAATAATTAGTCTGGAATAACTCTTTAGAACCCTCTAAGCTTTCGTGTTTGCGTTTGAAAACGCATACGTTTTTATTACCGTTTTCGCCTTCCTTTCATGCACCGAAAAATTAACAAGTTATAGAAGCTCTCAAGATGGATATTTTCCAACGGGCCGTTTTCCAGTTCTTTTCGACGCAAACGTCAAGATGATCATATGACCTTTAACAGTCCATTGTTTCCCCCAGAGAAAAGGGAAGAGATAGCTTGTTTTTCACTAGATTCTTGTACTAAGATTGCCACTGTCCCCTAGTAACTAGTACTTACACCTTGATTTACGCAAATCTTTGTATTTTACGAATACACGTAAGTATTTTGAACGCGCTTGTACAGCTCTGAGGCGTGACGTGTCTAAATTAAGTATTGTTGTTGTTGTTGTCTTCGTTCCCAGGTTCCGACAACTCATTCGTCTAATTTAACCACAAGGAAACGAGGGCTTTGGAGTCACAATTACTTCGCGCATGATCAATCTTGATGTTGTACATTTGTGTAACACTTTCAGCGTTTAGGTGGGCAAAATGTCTCCACTAACCCAAACAAAGTACCGTGCCCTATTGCCACCCCCCACCCCAATCTCAAAATTTCCCTCAGCTCTGCCTTGCTAGGCGAAACAATGAGATTAATAGGAAACAAAATGAACTGCGTCCCGAGTAACCAGCCATAAAGAGTTCAATTATCATCCTGGAGACTGGAGCAGGAGAGGCTAAATGATTTGTTACGTTTTCCACTTGGCTTCTAGCTTTGCTTATCTGCATTAAACATCGTCCTTACAATTACAGTATAATGGCGTTTGAGGTAGAAAAGGATTGCTGATTGTTAATACAAGTTTACTACATTTTAGCGTTGACTCAGAGACGAAATGGCGTGCTTATAAGTCAATGTTCAGCTGTCACTAATTTTCACTATCACTCTCTTCGTCAGTGGTAGCAGAAGTCCTACTGTTTCCTGTCATCGGCTTGAGTGTGTCATATTCCGTCCCATACAATATCATGACGAACCAAAGACAGAAACCAACCACTGTGACTTCCAACCAAGTTAGAACCCGGTCTATTACATTGAAAAATGTCCGCAAGTGATGGCAACTTTTTGAGCCTTTCCTGCCTGTGTCACTAGAACAGTAAAAGAGAACCCATCAGACTAGCCTTTTTATGCATTAATTCTTTCATTCCTTATCTTACAGAGATTTTCCAGGGCCCACGCTACCTTTATTCAGCGCATGTGCATCGGAACTCTGGCCCAGTCCAGTTCTGGCCACCTCACTGTCACGCAGTCCTAGGATAGACTTATGATGGTTTTTAATGAGGACAAGGCTGAAAATTGCCAAAACGTCATCCACAAGAGAGAGAATAACTCGCGCACTGGCTGGACATTTCGTAGGGAAAAGCAGTTAAATTAGTTCTTTTCAAATCCATGGAAAAAGTACTTTCCGTGTTCAGTTTCTTTGAGGAGTTGAATATAGGAGGGAAGAGGATGGGGAGCATATAGACCCTTATAGCCTGATAATTGTTTTGTTATCAGGCGTTAGAAGGCCAGGCCGCGAGGCTATAGGTGCGATACTTACCTCATATCAGATAGTGTCAGTGGTTTCTTGATTTTCTGAACACTCTCTGCAACACGAAAATTGTTATTAGTTGTTTTCAAATATTTCTAACCCTCAAGATCTCAATATGAGTGGCAAATTTGTCTTAGAAATCTAACCAATAAAGGTTTACGTTCCTCGCGCAAAAAGCGTTGCACGTGTGCGCTGGGAATGGTTGGTTATCTCGCGAGGACCCACAGAGCGACAGTTGTAAACCAAGGGAATTTAAAACAGAACTAAAATTCTGTCCGGAAGTGACGCTCATATGTTTCTTTATGGATGTTTCTACTGAAAATATTCTTCCCATAAGTCAGTTTTAAACTCCCGGAAGGTCTGAAGTGCTGTAATCGAATGGTTTTAGTTAGAAAATTTCGGAAAGGCACCAAGAATCTAGCCAATCCAAAGCCACCTTTTCCTCCCGCCCAGACCCTGCCGGCTTCGAGGGACACTTGGCTCTGGCGACGATAATGTGACAACTTCCTGTTGTACGGAACGACAAGCCAAAGATAATTTTGCTACTATTAAATGCTAACGCACGGTTGTTATTCTGAAAAGGGTCATGAAAATTGAGCTAGTAATGGCGAGTAATGCTACCACAGTATGCTAAACGACCTTCACCCAAGCTATCGCGGAGTCGACAATCCCAGCGCATGCTCAGATTTGATTCATTGAGACAGGCGCTCGAATTAGCAACCTCGTAAAATCTCTCCGAACTAGCTGTATGTGACATTTTTCTATTTAACATTCCTTCCCACCTGCTGTAGAACGCTTTTCTTTGTTGCTCATGTGACGGCACAAAACAGACGAAACCGGACGAAGAGTTCTGCCATTTAGCCTCGTGTAGAGACCCCCCTTTATGGAAGCTGTAAAAACTCTCGATCCCGATGCTCGAAGCAGGGACACGGCTGAAACAAAACCCCTCGAAAGCATACTAATTCCTGTGAAGTAGGAGTTCCTTTCACAACCTGAGAAATGCTGGCTGTACTCTGTAAATGTAGAAATCGTGAAAACCAAGGGAAGAGACTTTTCCATGACGTGAAGAGATCGTTTGACGTCAGACGTGGTACCTTCCCGCTGGATGTCACGTACATCGCTTATTTTCAGTTTTATTTCCATTCCTCTGAACTGGTATTGCGTTATCTGATTTTATTCTAGTTCTGGAGAAAAAGAAACTTCAGTAACTGACTGATTTTGTCTGGCCATGGAAAGGCGCTGAATTGCAAGGATATTTGCTACATAGAGATTAATTTCAATATTTGTTGGTTGCGTGATTGGTCGTTTTCCGGCTGTCATTATCAAAATATTTAAACTTGAAGATATTCCGGGTTCGCAAAGGCTAACATCAGCTGTTACAAGAAAAAAAGAAAAAAAAAACAAAAAACAAAAAAAAGAAGAAGAAGAAAAAAGAGCCAAGTGCCTTGGTTTGCCCATCACTAGCTAAGGCCCTGTATGTATTTGAAAAATGGCATAACACGGATCCACTTAAAGAGGACTTAGTCTGCTCCAACATAAAAGCTTCTGTGTTTGTCCAAATATTCTGTGGTTTCCCCCTTTCCTGCAAACCTAGAGCACCTTTCGCCTCAGCTGCACTGCTTTTGTGGCTGTCGAGGCTGTCTAAAGAAAGAATACCTCAACTGAAAGAAAACTTTGCGTATTTTTCTCTCGAAACCTGGCTTTTTGAATTTGTGGGGAAAATAGAAAAGAGAATCTAAGTCTTGATCACTAGAAAACCAGGGACTAAAGAAACCCTAGTTTACGAACAACCGCAAATAAAGACACCTTGCCATTATTCAATCTCATGCCCAGGCTCTCTCTTCTTGGCAAAGTAGAGAGAGTCTGGGATCTTGTTGGCCGCTATTATGGTCAGTCGTTTTGGTTTCTAGTTCATATAGTTTGTCTTAAATTAACACACCTATACACTTACTAGTAATACAAACTGAGACAGTGTTTTGGTCTCTAGCTCACACATTTCCTCTTTAATCACAATTACAATTTCCTCAAATGTGATTGGTGCATAAACTGCTGTATTTTGCTCTAATTAATCTGCAAAGCTGTAATCGGACAGTGTAATCGCACAGTTGGCTGTAATCGGACACCTGTAATCGGACGGTTACATGAGCCAATCATTTTAAGTCCTCTCCACTAAATCCACCAATCACAACATTGATTGCAATTACTATGGTAACCAATTGAAGAGACTGACTTTGTAAAATTGTGGAGGTTTAGTCTCGGGTGACTGTTTTGAAAGAAACTTAACAGCCATTTGGCAAGCTATTCTCCATATTTTTAATTATGATATTTAAAAATGACTATTAAATGCTCTTTTTCAAATGAATTTTTGCTTTTGTGGGAAATTGTAATTGTTATGATTAATTGGTAACAGGACATCGTGCCGTCCCATTCAGTCTGTAATCATACTCGTGATTAACAAATCGGACTCCCGCTTCGCGGTCGTCCTAATTTGTTAATTACTCGTATGATTACAGACCGAATTGGACTCCACTCAGTCCTGTTACCATTATTAATTAGTGTAAACAGACTCTATCATAGAAATGCCCTGGAAGCCGAGTCCAAACCTAAAAGGCATATTTTCATTGGTGAAAACCTTAAAATAATTCATGATCAGTCAAGTGAAATAAAGTTACCGAAATGGGGTCTTATAGTGAGTTATGCAACACAAGGTTGTGATGTGAAATTGAAAAAGTCTAGCAGACTTCTTCAAAATCTGACTGATCTTGTCTTGAAAAAGTCACTAAAAGCTCAATACAAATTGTTCTTGGATTTACTTAAAATCTTCATCGTAGTGTCATCCTAAGAGCCTTTTTGTATGAGCTAAGGTAACTGCTGGTATTCACACTTTAAAGCACTGTTTTGACCAAAAATGCAGCAAAATATCAGTGCCCCTTTCACCTATTAAAATTATACAAACAGCTTGAAAATTCTCTCAAAATTGCACAAGTGTAATTTGAAAGAATTTTTAAGAGTCACGAGAAGAGTAAATCCTTAATTTCTCAAGCTTTCATATGATTACTCATTTATTACATGGCTGAGAAAATTATGAATACAAGCATGTCAATTTGCACTGCAGTGCATATTAAAAATTGATGATTCATCAGCCTGCTCTCAGCCAACCCCAATGAAGTAATTTTCTCAGTTAACTACTGCCTTTCTGTTATCTATGTCCAGTTTTATAGTGTCAGTTCTAAGGTGCCTTGTTCATGCAAGTGTCATCGGAGATAATTTTTAAAATAAAAATACTTTACTTTTAAGGTAAGTAAGAACTTAGGTACACATCCTATTCAATATCTGAACAGCCAGCAAGACAGGCCATGTAGAGGTAACAGGTCAGCTTTGAACCTGTTGACAAAACCTTCCATCCTGCAAACTGTCGGGCCCCCTTAACCCTTAACCCTTAGTACTGAGTTAAACTCTTGCTGAAACTTCTCACCTCCTGCACACAATTTAACCCTTTACCAATGTTGAAGTTGTATCCAGGTACAAATATGACTAAAATCACTTCCATTTGGGAATAATTTGGGAGAATGTATGTACTGCATATTACAGTCTAGAAGTTATCATTTGGCACGCATAGTCACTCACACTTTAGGATTTTAACCATTAACTCGAAAGTTAAACTTCAGCATTCTCTCCGTGATCATCAGGAGGAAAAGGGTTTTAAAAAGTCAGTGTTCAACTTCACTTCTTTTCACTGTTAGCCCGCGCAGCAGCAGCTGCATCTTCCTCTCTGAGCTTCTCATATCTTTTTACATTTCTTTCATGAAGTGATTCCAAAGTGTTCTCATCTCGTCCCTTCTGGGATGTTTTTATGATCCAAAGGCACGCACCAAGTGTGAACAGAATCATGATTCCGTTAACTCCAATGCGACGGCGACTGTTTGCCCTCTCCATGGTGGCTGTACTGAAGTTGGTAAAAAAAAAATCAGAATTAACAAAAGAACTTAACTGAACAAGACTTACACTCCAAATTATTTTAATAATAATAATAATATCAATCACGCGTAATTTGTATTATGTCATAGTAGACAATCTCTGGGTGGTGCTATGGCCTAATCATTAGCATGATGGATTCTGGATCAAACAGTCCAATTACATGTAGTTGGTAATTTTGGATCAAACAGTCCAATTAGTTGGTATGTTCCATAAATGGGCTGCCCATCAAGCCAACAGAGTTTTGCGATCCTTCCCTACATCAGAGGCATTACTGAGCCACTCACTTGGATTCTTAAGAGGCACAGCATTAAAGTCTTCAAAAAACCAACAAATATACTGCAACAAGATTGCCCTGTTCCCAAGTTTTGACCTCCTGAAGACAATCAACTTGCAATTTTATTTACAAAATCCCTTGTGCATCATGTCAATGGAGTTACATCGGTGAAACTAAAAGATCATTTAGCACCAGAAGAAAAGAACATACTAGAAATACAACACGATGCGCTAAAGGCTCCAATGTTGCTAAACATGCATGGACCTTTGACCATGTAATTGACTTAGACAACTCAACAATCATTGACAATTGAAACCATCGCACCAGAAAGACAGTGGAATCATGGCACACAGCAAAAACTGTTGAGGATGATAATAACTCATGCCCACTCCCGAGACAATACAACATTCTTTTAAACAAACATTAATTTTAGTACTTGTAGCATACTTTCGAACATTCTTTATATGTGTGCAGTAATTTTAAATTTATGCGATTTACTCTCTATATTCAAATTTTTAATGTTTCATTTTATCACAAATTTGTATCTGTCAAAGACAGTAGACCGACTGTCAAGAGCTTATTTTTGTAAATACTTTTTACCAGAGAACGTTATATCCTATATTATCATAATCAACCCTGGTAACAGATCTGCGATATTTTTAAGTCCTGGTATTGTTATTGCCAGGGATTGCTATTTTGTGTACTTAGTTATTTCACTCTTGCAGCGCCTCCCAGGTGTTAACAGTTTAAATAGGTATGAGGTACGAACGAATTGACCAGGCAACTTGACCAAATGCTAATTGGGTAAAATTAATCTGTTACCCTGACTAGTATTGTATCCAAGGGGGATAGCAATATTCCTGCACATAGCAGCAGTTTTGAAGAGGAATGGATGCAAGCCTCCAGAAAGAGTAAAAATCCCCCTCCAACACGTCCCCCCCCCAAGAAATAAAGAAATTAAATGTACTCAATTTTTTTCAACAACTGAAAAAGGTGACAAATTACTCAAATTGGAAAAATTCTTGTATTCTTGTTTTGGAGGGCATAACCAATAAAGGAGGGGGCAATTTATGAAGGAAGGGAGGAAAGAAGCTTAAACCTTCACAAATGTTCTATCATCAGATGTAGGGACCTGTAACCATGGGAGGGGGGCCAGGGGGATACTCACTGTACATCAGCTGGTATCGGTGGTGCCATGGTTCTTGTTGCAATCAAGGTAAATCTGTCCAAAGCTGACACACGATGCAATGTTGGTAAACCTCCGTCTGTAAAAAGTACCAAAGTTTGCTGTTAATTATCAGACCCTTTCATGTTCAAAGAAAGTATAAGAGATCCTTTAAAATTATTTTCATTACTTGACTTGAAATACTGAGTGTAAGGCAATCCTAATCCAGTCTGTATCAAAATTTTTGGGACAACTGTACCATGTTTTTACACTGATTTGCCCTCCCCTCAGCAGGAGAATTTATGCCATGCCTGCATGCAGACAGTAACATATATAGCCTCAACAGGAGTGTGTATGACTTCTGCAAAGCTGTAGTTTAGCACTGCGATTTTGACCTGCTTAAGCCTGCATCATCAGGAATGAATACTTTGTAGCTCAGAAATGGCAATTGTCTACAATATTATTTGTGATTACTACTAGTTCAGTTTTATTTGAAGATACCCTAAACACCGGCGTATAAGCCACAATCACAGATAAGCTGCACCCCGAGTTTGGTGACTCAAATTTCGGAAAAAAGTCTTTGGAAAGAAATAAAAGTAATTCACAAGTGGAGTCTTGAGAAAGATTCTTTTCATGTACATTTATTGATTTATTGAAAACTCACTAACATTGAAAACAGAGAATACTTCAAACTAAAACCCTTACCTATAATTTTAGCTCCCCAATAGAATGGAGATGATGTCTACCAACTTTGACATCTGTTTGATGTTTCTCTGGTATTTTTCAACCAGTATTTTTTTTCATTCCGACCCGTAAGTTTTCCAACTGAATTTTACAAATAACAGTGCTTTTGTTCATTCATTTGTTTGTTAGTTCGTAGCTTAATAGCCAAGCATGGAGTACAGGACACAAGTAGCTTTCGATCACAGCTCATTGCGACGATGAAAAGAACAGCTTTGTGCCAGAATGGAGATTCTCTGTCGTGAGATGTTTAGCAGCTCTAAGATGGCAACCTCGAACTGGCTAAAAGATTTTTTTATGAAGGTTTAAGTGTTTAACAGCAAGAAATGTAGGCTTATGCTTGAGAACAAGAACGGCTCTTTCAGGAGCCACCAAACTTATAAAAGCAATGATTGATACATACTCTGATATTAATAGTTTTATGAAGTCTAAGTAGTTTGCTTTTCCTACAAACTTATAAATTTTTGTTGAAAAGTGTTAATTAACCGCACGGCCATGGGCCGAGCGCGGTTCATAATCTACCTGTGGTTTATTGTTATTATTATTATTTTTTTGTCGGTGACCAGATGCAGACCTCTGCTCGGCCAAATTTCAAGTCACGCAACATGTGGTGTTTGTTCGCCAAAAGCCGTTGAAACATTAATATGCGGACAATTTTACGGATATTGTTTTCTTTGTTGTGGGTAAAATATATTTTCTTTTGGTTTTATTGAAGCGTTGGATTCAAATGGAATAATAAACATGCTAAAAAAAAGTATTATGTCAGCCATGGAATGCGCTAACATTGCAGCTTTCACTTTCCCTAAGTGACAAATAAGATGGTGTTTACTTTGCAAGGTTATTTCGGCAGAGGCGACAGTCATCAATTTGTTTGAAGTTTTGCTAGTATTTCTTGTGGTTTTAGACAAATGAAGTAAATTCTTTGGCTGTTTCATCGCAGCGAGTTCATAGATCGGAAGGAAAATTAAATACTTGCAAGCCAAGCAAAGAACATGTCAGAACGTGCAAGGATTACGTCATTGGTAGGGAAATAACCACCGTACTAAAGATAACCGTGAATAATGTAATTCTTGAATTATGTGACTCGTGTGACTACTTTGCTAGCCTTTACTCATTGAAAACCAATTAAATTTAATCCTGACTTTTAATAGCGTTATTATTGT